GGAGGTCTGGGCCTCCCTTCTGAAGCTGCTGCCCCCGCGACCCGACCCCGGATAGGCGGAAGAGAATGGATGGATGGAAACTTTTACCTAAAATAGTGCTGCTTTTAGCTACTGTTTGTTTAGCTATTTTTAGCTTCTCCATAGCCTTTTGTTTCTTTTAGCTTTCATCAAACATTTAGCATTAAACTAGATGTATGACTTTCTTTTTTCTAGTTTTTAGTTACTATTTGTTTTCATTTAGCCTTTTTTTCTTGAATTTTGTCTCCTTTAGCTTTCAGCTAATTTTTCGCTTCTTTTAATTAGCTTTAGCTTTTTTAGCGATGTTTAGCAAACTCATTGAGCACTCGTCCTTCACATGTTTGCAGAAACATGGATTTTATTTTATATATTTTTTTCATTTGTGGTTTTTAGACATGGACCTCCTGTAGCCTGGGACGTTTTCTGTCATTAGAACAGCTGTGAAAATGTCAAATTCAGCTCCAGGGCACTAAAATGTCTAAAACTCTTTAACTTGTACAAAACTCAAGCAACTAAACTCTCTGTGAAGGAGTCAGAACTGCTTCCAGACATTTTAGAGACCTCCTGGTGACCGCTGCTGGACCAGCGGTCGCCTCGGGTCACAGCCTAGTGAGAACCTGAGCTGAAGAGTTCTGTTAGTGACGCACAGGAGAAGAGTAAAACCAGCTACCTGCAGCTGCGTTAAAAACCTCTGTGTCGTGGGATAGAGTCACTGCTAAAGAGTCATCTGATTTAGGGCTCGCAGGCTTTCTGAGAAACGGTGAAAATAAAGTCAACTCAGGCAACGGTGCAGGAAAAGATCTTTAAACTCTGAAAAATCTTCTGCAAAGGTCTGAACCCAACATTTCTTTACAGCTGGCTTCCAAAGAGTCAGATTTTCTTGCAGACTTGTGGTTTTCTAGTTCAAAGTTTAGCAGCTTTATATCTCTGAACGATTCATACGTCACAGTTAAGTTTAACACACAAAATAAACACATTTCTTTGAAAATGAACAAACAATGACTAAAACAGTGAAAAAGCAGCAAAAGTTCAAAGGAAAACGTCTTGAACTGTTCATCAAGTCCACTTTAAACCATCATTAAAGAATCTGGCTGTTTGGAAGCAGAATGTAAAGAAACGAGGGATGATTTGCACTAAAAACTGTTTCATTTTTAGCAGTACCAACATGCTAACCAACCAGTGAAGTTCCCTAAAGTGTATAAATAGCTGAACCCAAACGTCTCCAACACCTGATAAAACTAAAAATCTGTCGAATTCATGAGAAACAAAGAGTCAAACAACTCACACTGACAGCTCAGCAGCCATTTCTCTTTTACCTACAGTGAAAAAGGAGGAGTGAGTCGAGAGGGAGGTGCAGTAAGGAGAGGAGGGGGGACACAGGAGGCCCGAGTTTCTGGAGGACTGTAGGTTTGTCTACCTCTCTTTCTTTTGAAGTACAACACACAGCCCACCAAGATGACGATGGACGCCAGCAGCAGGAGGAAGCCCCCGATCAGAGCTTTCTTCCATAACACCATGCGGACTGTGACGAGACACACGGAAAGAAAGGAAGAAAGAAAGTTCAGCGAAAAACAAACAAACAAACAAAACAAAACAAAACCCCAGGAAAGTCTGGAGCTGAAATCCATCTCACCCTCGATGTTCACCCGGTCACTTTCCACCGTGTTGTCGGCACGGTTCTGCATCATGCAGTAGTACCTGCCGCTCTGCTCTTTGGACGACACGGTGAAGTGGTAGTTGGCATGGTTGTGATCGGAGGTGGAGGAGCCCAGTGGTTCCTTTTGTCCTTCACGGTACCACCAGAACGTGATGGGCGGAGTGCCCTGTACGCTACATATGAGGTGGAGATCACTTCCCTCAGAGATGTCTGCCAGGTCAGGTACCACCAGCAGGCTCGGCTTGTCCACGGGTTCTGTCAAAACCAAATGGAACACAGATGGATTGTGGCGTTTACGCTTTTACGTTTTTATGTTTTTATGTTTTACAGAACAGATCTACACAAAAAACAAACAAACATGAAATTACCTTCAAACCTTTTGGTTATCAATTAAAATAACTTTATAGTTATTTTGGTGTACTATATTTGTTGCAGTATCTCTCATGTAATCACAGCCTAGTATTTGGGTACTTACATGYTATGTACTTGTTGTTAGTATATTCCCAACATGGGTACTTTATACCACACCCAGATGTCTTCATATACATCCCTGCTGGTAGGTGGGTACTAATACGTACCCTGTTCCTACAGGGCACATACCCAGTACTTAACAAGTTACATACCTGGTACTTAACAAGTTACATACCTGGTACTTAACAAGTCATATACCTGGTACTTAACAAGTTATATACTTGCAACTTTAAAAGTTACATACCTGGTACTTAACAAGTTATATACCTGGTACTTAACAAGTTATATACTTGCAACTTTAAAGGTTACATACCTGGTACTTAACAAGTTNGTACTTAACAAGTTATATACCTGGTACTTAACAAGTTATATACCTGCTACTTAACAAGTTATATACCTGCTACTTAACAAGTTATATACCTAGTACTTAACAAGTTATATACCTGCTACTTAACAAGTTATATACCTGCTACTTAACAAGTTATATACCTGGTACTTTAAAAATTATGTACCTGGTACTTAACAAGTTATATACCTGCTTCTTTAAAAGTTACATACCTGCTACTTAAAAAGTTACATAGCTGGTACTTAAGTTATATACCTGGTACTTTAAAAGTTACATACCTGGTACTTAAGTTATATACCTGCTACTTTAAAAGTTACATACCTGGTATTTAACAAGTTAAATACCTGCTACTCAACAAGTTACATACCTAATACTTAACAAGTTATATACCTGGTATTTAACAATTTACATACCTACTACGTAACAAATTACATACCTAATACTTAAGTTATTTACCCGGTACTTAACAAATTACATACCTAGTACTGAACAAGTTCCACACCTAATCACTTCATAAGACAGTCCCAATCCCTTTAAGTACCTGATACACACCTGGTATCTAGCTGGTAAAGACAGTAAACACTGGTTGACCTATTGAAACTAAATAAACTAAATAATTTTATCTTTTAATTCAAGTTTGAATATTTACCTATGGCGGTTATATTAAGCGTGTCACTTCGCTGGATCCTCCTGCCTCCATTGCTCGCCTCACACTCGTACATGCTGATGTCTTTGGTGTGGTTGATGGTGACGTGGAAATAAGCCTGTTGCCTCATCAGGRCCACGGTGAAGGTCTTGATGTGGTTGGTGCCCTTCCACAGGGTGTAGGTGATGGGCAGACTGCCTGATTTCGACTCACAGAAGATGGAGAAAGATTTCCCCAAGATCACCCTTTCATTCACCCAGATCTCTGGAACCGAGACGTGAACTGAAGGGAGAGAAACCGTGGAGATTGAGTGAGTTTTTACAACATAACTAAATGCAAACAAAGCTTTACAGTTTTATACACAAGTTTTCTTAACTGTATCAAAACAACAAATTCAATCAAATGCATTTGTTTTAGTTTAGCTAGGTGTACACCCTGCAACAGCAGGAGTAACTATGATGATAAACACACTCACTTATAAATAACTCCTGAATTAAAGAAGATAAACTGACATGGAGAGCTCATATAAATTACTTAAGAACAAAAATAGCAAAATCTATTGCAATATTATAAAGTAAAGGACTTATGATGATGATGATGTTAAAGCACAATTTATATTATATAATTCAATAACTGTTCCACATTTGATTTTTTGTATAAAAGTCTGCAGGATTGCATGCAAAACAATTACAAATCCTATTTTTATTTAGCAGAAAAGAGCTATAAGAATTATCACAAGAAAGCATTACTATCACCCATCTAATATATTGTTTCATCAATTACAATTATTAAAGTTTTATGAGTTGGTTGATTATTATATTCTGCAAGTTATGTTTAAGGCTCATAAAAATGTGTTWCCTTCAAACATCCAATCACATTTTGTTATGAGGGAAAGTTGTTATAATTTGAAGGGACTAAAAATGTTTATAAAACCAAAACATCAAACAAATCTGAAGGACAGATGCACTTCAGTAAAAGGAATAAGATTACGGAACAATTTGGATAATGATTATAAAAATTCTGGTTCAGTTAATTTGTTTAAAAAAATGATCAAAGTTAAATTGTTAAATAAATATGAAAATGTTTAATTTGTATTTGTAAGAGTTACTGTTTGAGGAGTTAAATTTTTTGTTTTTATTATTTGATTATTAATGTTTGAAATTAATTTTTTTTGAAAATGGGGGCAGATACCTGTGTAAGATTTTTTTCTTCTTCTGCTACCTTTCATTTTATTTTATTTGTTTTGTTTTGCTGTATTTAATGTGTTCTGTTTTTTAAAATGAAATGAATAAATTTTTGGAAAAAAAAGATCAGTTGCTAAATGCTAACAAAAGTTAGCACTTTAAAAACCAGACAAAATCTTTAATAACTTTGACTTGACTTGAACAAAACAAACAAAAACAAACCATCTGCAGCAGATAAAGTCGTGTTTTTAGGATTTTCTGTCCAGAGGATATTATAAATTATTAATAAGTGTCAAATTAAAAGCTACCATCTTTATTTCTGTAAAACCAACATGTAAAACTGACCTTTAGGACGCACAGTCAGGGCTTCGCTGCGCTTCTTGATGCCTTTGGCCTCAGCTGTGCACGTGTAGCTGAAGTCYCTTTTCATGGCCGTGCGAGAAAACACTCCGGGTTGTGTTGCGGTCACAAAGTGCTCGGCTGGATCGAGACTGTAAACCAGATCTAGTCTGCTGAGTCTGTCGGGGGCCACCCTCTCACTCCTGCAGGTCAGCGTCATCGGTTCTCCCTGGAAGACTTCACGTGGAGACATGGTGAGCGTCGGTACGGAGAACAGGTCTGTGGACAGCGGCAGGAGAAACAAGTCATCATCTGGACTCGTGACAGAATGTGTGAGTGAGGATTTCACCCACTCACCCATCACAGAGACGTTCTGCGTGGCGACTTTCACCACGTTTTCCACGATCAGCGTGCACTCGAAGGTCAGCGTCGGGGGCGTGGCCTCTGCCTTCATGTGGTGCTCTATGGGAGAGGACGAGTTCCTGCTGCTCAGCAGCTTGGTGCCCTGGCTCAGGATGAGGCCGACCGTTTTAAAACTCTCATCCGTCTCAGACGAGCACCTGATGGTCAGATTGTCTCCTTCGTAAACGTTATCCAGAGGGGAAATATCCAGAACCGGAGCGATGGAAAGTTCTGTGGAACCCAAAACATCACGAGTCCAAATTAAAAACAGAACAAACTCATATTTATTCACACTGGAACACAGAAAACACAACGACTAAAACTAAGGTTTCATTTGAGTGAAAAATGAGGGTCATTTTGAATTTGATGGCAGCAACGTCTAAAAAAAAAAGAATTTGGACCGAAGAAACAAAAAATAATCAGTTTCAGAATAAAAATAATCTCATCAACAGAGTTATAATCTGTGTTACTCTCTGAGATGAAAGGATGAAAGTCAGTATTAGATTCTGGACTCAGGAACACTTCCACACATCATCTGTAAACACAGTTCTGTTAAAGCTCTATCAGGCAAAGAGGAAACACCATCCAGAACCACTGCCATGTTCTCTGAACCACAGTGGAGAACTGTTCTGTGGCCAGACGGATCCACATCCTCCAGACTAGACGAGAGGAACCATCAGTCTTTCATCAGCACACAGCTCTAAAAACTTCCTCTCTGTTGGTATGGGGGTGCATTAAGGCCTCTGTAACAGGCAGCTGACACATCTGGAAAGACTCCATCCATACAGAAAAGTGTCGACAGAGACTAGAACATCTGCTCCCATCCAGGGCATACCTGGTCTAAGGTCATCTAAAACCTGCAGACCTGGTCTCAGGTCCTGTAAAACCTGCAGAACTGGTCTCGGGTCCTGTAAAACCTGCAGACCTGATCTCAGGACCTCTAAAACCTCCAGACCTGGTCTCAGGTCATCTAAAACCTCCAGACCTGGTCTCAGGTCATCTAAAACCTGCAGACCTGGTCTCAGGACCTCTAAAACCTCCAGACCTGGTCTCAGGTCATCTAAAACCTCCAGACGTGGTCTCAGGACCTCTAAAACCTGCAGAACTGGTCTCAGGTCATCTAAAGCCTGCAGACCTGGTCTCAGGTCATCTAAAACCTGTAGAACTGGTCTCAGGTCATCTAAAACCTGCAGAACTGGTCTCAGGTCATCTAAAACCTGCAGACCTGGTCTCAGGTCTTTTAAAACCTGCAGACCTGGTCTCAGGTCATCTAAAACCTGCAGACCTGGTCTCAGGTCCTGTAAAACCTGCAGAACTGGTCTCAGGTCATCTAAAACCTGCAGACCTGGTCTCAGTTCTTCAGAGCGTTGTTAAAAGAGGAGGGATGAAGGAAACGTGGACCTGGAACAAGATGTGCTGCTGTCATTAAACTCAAAACTCTTTTTATCTAAATGTCTTTTGTTCAAACATCTGATTCATCTTCTGGATTCAGAACTTGAAACAGTTACGGACTAAAGTGACCCGGCGTACTTTTGACAGTAACGTTATACGTGATGCTGTTCCCTGAGTCCACAGACTTGGGCATGAGGACCACGGTGTAGTTGCAGTGGACCCCGTGTCTGCCCACAGTTTTCAGGCGGAGCTTGGCCTCCACCCGGTTGGAGCTGATGCGCTCCTCGTGGAGCTCCCCGGAGCCGTCGAAGAAGTGGAAGTAGAAGGAGCCTGTCTCTCCCGGAGCCTCGCAGGTGGCCGTTACATCCTGGCCCTCCGTAACGGTGGTCTCGTTGAGGTGGATGAMGGGCAGCGACAGGCCTGGAGAGACACGAGACTTACAGCAAACTGAATGAACCTGTGAGCCGACGAGAGGAACGACAACCCACCTGTCACTGTGAGCTTCTGAGTTCCACTGGTCATCTGCTGGTCCTGGATCTGGATGCTGCACTTGTACTTGCCGGTGTTGGACACTCTGGCATCGGGCAGGGGGTACACAAAATCCTCAGTGGAGCTGGTGGCCTTCCTGTAGACCACCTGCTCGTCCTTGTACATGACATAGTCGCGCCTCAGCGGCAGCTCCGGATGTGAAACCATCACCTTGGCCTGACACCTCAGGGTCACGTTGGTGCCCCGCCGCACCTCYGACCCGGGCTGGATGGTCAGGCTCACCCCTTGTATCCGGAAGTCTGGAGGAGGCAGCGCAGATATCAACTGATAAAACACTGCTTAGGTCACTTCCTGTCTCATCCTGAGCTGACTGCTGATTGGATGCTCAGGTAGAGTATCCATAAATTATACTCCAGTAGTGCTACTTCAACATATTTACACTCAAGTAAAAGCAGAGGTCTATAAAGTACTTGAAAAAAAAAACTAAATAAAAGTTAAAATATCTCAACAGAAAATGACTTTAGTAAAAATAAATTTCACTGATGAGAAAAATCAGGAAAGTAAAAGTACCTTTACACACTCCAAACTGGTTCCACTAAACCAGGTTTAGTAAATTGAGCAATTTATACATATTTATTTAAGAAATTTACTCTATTGCTGGGCTATTCAACTGGCAGCCTGCGGGCCACCTCTGGCCCACGAATGACCCATGTGCGGCCCACCAATTGGTTCATTCATCTCTTAAATCCAAACTCCTGATTTTTTACTTTTCTTTTAGTTCGACAAAGACGTGTGGTATCTATAGAACCATCAGAAACTTGGTTAAAAGCTGGTAAAAAAACATTTCCATGAACAACCAAGACAGTTTAAACTACAAGCAGTTGAAGATAAAACTATGAAAGTGAAAATAAAACTGGTTTAAAAATGTGGCAAGTCAGAGATGTCAAAATAATAATTGTGTTATGTTTGTTTTTGATATTGTTTTATTATCACTACTGTTATTACACTGGGTTCTGTATGTTGTATTCAGGATTAAATGTAGCAAAATAAACTCATTCAAAGGTAACAGATCTTTGTGATACTTGGTTTATTTACATCATGACATAATGAGTTCGACTCATTTTGCACCCCCCTCCCCCTCCAGATCATGAGTCTGTCATGACTGTTTTTTCTTGCAATTTTGCATTTTTCTGCATGATACCTTGCTTTTTATTTTCATTTTTATCTAATTTCATCTTGATAGTCAGTACAGTAATTATTATTCTTATTTTGATCTATGTTTATTTTTATTGTTACTGTCTTTAATTATATTGTTATTACTACAGTTAATAATATCACATAGCAATAAACCGTTTCTGTGGACTGATGTATGTATCTGCTGCTGCTGCTACACCTGAATTTCCCCACACAGGACAATAAAGCCTGTTTCTATTCTATTCTATTCTATTCTATTCTATTCTATTCTATTCTATTCTATTCTATTCTATTCTATTCTATTCACTGGATGTTGGGCCCCTCAGCTGTTGACCTGCAGTATCTGTGGCCCCCGGAGTGATTTGCTCTACCAGGTTTAGTGGAACCAGCTGACATGACTTGTTGAGTAAATTCAATTCTTCATTTTTTACTGCAGAAACAGCTCCTCTCATGATGACTTCTGACAGATTTAATTTGAAACGAGTAACTAGGTGTTCAATTTTAAAGTAAAGAAGTAAAATATCGTTTTTAGGTTTTAAATGAAATGAAAGTAAAAGTAACGATTTAAAAAAAATACTTTGTAAATTTTGGTAGATTTTTTCTACCTGGATTACTGAGATGCATCAGGAGTCAGGACACTTGGTAAAATTACAAATCCTCAAAAAAATTACTTTAGAACTTTAACAAAGTAAATATACTTCCTCTGAGTAAAATTAAAAGGAATTACAAAAACAAACAAACAAACAAATCGTTTTTATCTCCACTGTCATTAATGAGCTGCTCAGGATGAGACTGTGATGAAGTGAAGATTCAACACAATCTGCTTCTTCTTTAGGTTTGTTGTTTTTTTGTGTACAGAGACCTGACACAACAATTGTTGTGATTTGGTGCTTTTTAATTAAACTGAATTAAATTTAATTATTATTATTCTCAGAGGAGACTTTAACTTTTCCTTGTACTTTTACGCAAGTATAACTTTGAGGTATTTTATACAACACTGAATAAAATCATCCCTTATCCTTTTTTTGGTCTAAAATGAGCAATATTTGTCTCTTTAACAGCCCTCACAATGAAAATGTTAAATACTGAATACAATAAATAAATATTAAACATTGTAGGAAACCAGCTCAGGTAAATAAAACRGATGAAACCCAGACTGCAGGTTCTGAGGCGTGAGACTCTGCTCCCCAACACTTTCCCACCAACGATCAGAACACTCTGATAACGAGTTTCCACTCTCACACACACACTTACACACAGACACACACACACACACGTGTGACTCTCAGGTTGTTCTAGAGGTAAACAGCTGATTCAAACTAAATCAAACCTTCTGCCTGAAGGTTAAATCTGAGGTTTTACTCACGTTGATCTGCAGCCACTGGTCTCCCTGGACAGAAGAAACAGAAAATGAATGGGTTAGAGTCAGAGTCAGGTGTTTTTAAAGGAGGAGGTGAGGAGGAGGCTTACAGCTGCAGAGGAGCGAGGAGGCGAGCAGTAGCAGGAGGCCCATCCTGTCTGCKCTGCAGGAGAACAAACTTCAGACTGAAGCTGCCTGACGTTTGCACGGGGGGCTGCTTGTGGGTGGGAGCGCACACTAAGGTGGTGCTCTGGCTCGGCCCCTCTGCGGCGGCGGTTATCGCCCCTCGCAGCCATCGGCTCGGCCTAATTTGACAGGAAGTGAGTGTTGTTTCCTCAGGATGTCCACACCGCCCGGCTCTCTGCTGCCGTGGAATGTTCTCCTCCACGTACGGCGTGCGTGTGGGAAATGAAAGTCAGAGTAACGCCGGGCTGTTTGGGCACGAGGCGCTCAGGCCTTTGACCTTTGACCCCGACCGGCAGAGCCTGAGCAACAACAAGATGATTATTCTTCAAAGGAAGATCAACAAGTTAAAGCAGTTTTCACTGACACTGGTTCTTACAGCTTTAAATGTTTAAAACTAGATTTAAACAAATAAAAATGTTCTCCACTCGTTCACTGAAGGAGATGTTTGAAAATGATCTTTTCGTGTTCAGTTAGTTTGGAATGATTTGGTAGGATGCTCATAAATCACTGCAATGACCCCTGACTCATCCCTTACACTGCCCCCTGCTGGACAATCAGTGAAAGTGAAGAATATTTCTACAAAACAAAGATTGATAAACAAAAATTACAAAATGACAAATTATTTTCTCAAAAATTTAAAATTAAAGTCAGAAAGCAGAGAAAAAGTTATAAATTTTAACAAACATTTCTTAGAAAGCTGACAAAAATGCCAGAACTGTTATTTTCTTCTCAGAATGTCAGAAATTATTAATCTCTTAACAGTCTTTGTTCCTCCGGTGGGCAAAAAATGATTTGGTTTATGTATGGGACAACACAAGTTGTCTTACCCCATATTTATGCCTTTACACATTTCCTGACATTTCCAGAGGCTACCTGGGGTATTTGTTTGAAAACAAAGTTATCAGATGACTTCCTCTGTTTGTTTTTTTTACCGGAGCTTGATACCATTACAAATGATAAAAAAAGTCAAAAGCCTTACAGGATAAACTGCTAAAAGGTTTTTAACTTAATTATCTGCTGTGGCCCTAATCCTCTTCTGAATGGATGCCAATCTCAGAATTCTGAAATTTAAGTCAGAGTATTAACGTTAATCTCAAAATTAAAATTTTAAGGAAAAAATGTAAGAATTTTAAAGTTCTGTACTTCCATATCAGGAAAATAAAACTAATTCTTCTAAAAATCAGCTGAACATTTTACACAAGAAACAACATTTCTGGGATCTTTAAAAGTTTTAAATGAAGAGTCGGTCTTTTTAAAATAACATGTTGATATTTCACAGAGTCCTCAGTGAGTTGTGATGTTGCAGATATTTATAAACCAGTTTGTCTTGATCAGTTTTTAAATTTCAATCAGTTTTTTATGTTGATTCAAAGCAACAAAGAACACTTCAGATTAATKAAGGTTGATGGGAGAGGCAAAACAAACCTGGTTTTAAATAAACTGAACAAATGTTTAATAAAAGCTGGTGTGTGCATAAATATTCACCCCCCTTTGTGTTGCAGCATCAAGTCTCTGCAGGTCTGTCTGCAACCCTGAGCTGTGTGGAGCGTTCCGTGGTCTTCATGATGGTCTTCCTGCTTGGTGGCAGCCCGATCCACTCAGAGGTTCTGGTTCTGGTCGAGCTCTTATTTAACAAATGTATGATGCCGGTCTGCAGTGTGTTAATGAGAAGCTGAAGCTCCTCAGATCATGATTTAAAGAAGCAGAGCAGATCAGGTGTTGGATTTGGTTTATTTCAACTCTTCTAAACCACAGAAACCATCTGAAGTCTCACAGACAAACCTGATTGTTCTGAATGTTTCCTTCTTTTACTGCTGCCACAAAAACTCTCTGTCTTCCAATCTAAAACCTTAAAACTCAAAGCCGGACCGTGGTTCTGGTGCCGAGGGTCAGAGAACGCCGTGGGAGGTTTTAAACTTCACTCCTTCTGCAGGAGGAGGAGGGGGGAGAGGTCACGTGATGCAGAGGGGCGGGGCCATGAAAGGAGGCAATCGTGGAGGGAACGTCCAACAAAATGAATGAAGTAAAATAATAAATTAGAAACAAATTGTAACAAATTTGACACGTTGATTCTGCACAAAGACCTGGAGAAACCTGGAGAAACATCTCCAGCTCTCCAGAACATGACCAAAACACAGCAGACTGGCGGTTAAACCAAACCAAACAAACCTGAGAGCGATTAGAAAAACAGCTGACCTCCTGCGGTTTGACCAAATAATCACTTCCTGTCAGCGARGGAGGCGGGGGGAGCTGCAGCGATTACAGGATGATGATGAAAACAGGAGGATGTGTCGTAAACTCTGAACAGGTGCTCAGGTAAAAACAGAAACAGCCTCTGAGGCACAGCGAGAAGCTCGGTGATGATGAGGAGGATGAGGAGGAGCAGGCGGAGGGTCCGTCCTTCCAGGCAGCAGGGCAGAAACCTCAGGTGTGTGTGTGTGTGTGTGTGTTAAAGTCCGGGCCACGTACAGGTGAGGTCAAAGTTCAGTCAGGTAGTGATGCTCGCTGCGCTCGATAAAATAGATCCTCTTCTTCTTCTGCTGTTGTTTAAATAAACAGACTCCTCAGCGCAGCCAAGTGGACAATCATTAGCTCCATAATAAGAATAAACAATAATACTAATATAGATATTTATATGTATGTATAGAGTCATTCTGAACACGGGTTTATCAGCAGCCATCTCTGAAACATTCGGTGGGTGGAGGATCTGTACAAGAGAAACGTCCTTTACGTCCTGCAGGGGAGGGAGGGGGGCGCTGGTGTTATCTGAGCCTCTTCTCTGCAGAGTAGATGGACATGTAGTAATCATTGCTGCCGACCGCCAGGTGAGGCTGGAAGGAGAGGAGGAGCAGGTCACAACCTTTAAAACACGTTTTCTCTCCTTTAATCTGAATATTAGCTGTTAGCTGCTAGCTGTTAGCTTCAACACTAAAACAGAAAACCAGCAGGTAATGAGTTCAGTTCAATATTTGACCTCTTGATGTTTCTTGATGTTTTTGCTCAAACATCATGCAGAATCTCAGTTTTTACAAACTCTACTTAAATATTGTTGGTGTCAAAATAAAGCTAACACTTGGAAGATTTCATCAGAAGTGTTATGCTGCGTTCACACCGAACGTGATTTCAGCTTGAAAATCGCAGCCAACACTCAAGTTTGAAGCTTGTGCACTTTGAGGTCAGACG